AGTTGTGGATGAGGAGCAGCCGGATGTAAATGGCCTGCCGGGTAAGCGGGCGAATGCTAGGATAAGGGAAGTGCGGCACAAGAGACGTAAGTTGGGTCCAGCAATCCCGCAGGATTTACGGCTCAACACGATACGCAGTCACTTGGGTCTCAGAGCGATTCATAGGAATGAATTCAAGGAGCAAGAGCGCAAGGACTTTATTGCGTCGGTTCAGGCGCATTTCATGGAAATTAAGAAACGAGTGGACTACTTGGCTAATGCGGCTGAGTTGGATGACGCAGAGGAGTACGTTCTACCTCGTCTCCATGACCTGTTAGCTAAGGTGGTCATGCCAATTGGTGCGACAACGATATCTCCGACTAAGGAGGTGGATCTGCAGGCACACTTGGAGTTTGATCAGTCTCAGCTGAAGAAGTTACACAAGGCGTGTGGACTCCTAAGCGAGAGCTGACTGCTATGATCAAGGATATACAGTCAGTAGCCTATAATGCTGCCTCTTCTACGTTTATGGTGTTCGACGACATCCGTTTTCGGGACGGTGTAGAGTTCAAGTTGAAGAATGGTTCGAAGCCAGCTTATCATGTGTACCCCATCAATGATCCCACGTTCACCTCGGTAAAAAAAGTGGTAAAGTGGGGGACTGGGACCAAGGTCGCATCACATGGGATATCTCGGAGGCGGAAGCCAAAGATTACTGTGCAATGCCGCACATGGTCTTCAAGTGACCTGGGTTTGTTCCCTTGTCAATCAACAATTGGCGTTGTAGCATTAACTATAAGAAACTTAATGGTTCGCTGGACTGTGAAGAGTACCCGGTACCCACGGAGCTGGAGTTCCTGTCGTCAGTGCGTGGAAAGAGATACCGTACCATGGTCGATATTGGTCAAGGCTTCTGTCAGCTCAAGGTGGCGGAAGGCTCGCAGCATTTACTGACGTTCTGGACTCCGTGGGGCAAGCCCACGTTTGTTGGCATGCCGTTCGACATCAAGCCGGCGTCCTGGGTTATGCAGCAGAGTATGGAACATGCCTTCCACAGCGTTGACGGACTCAAGACCTACATTGACGATATGGGTGTCGGTGACAATGATCCCAAGAAGCATTGGAAGAACATCAGGGCGTTGATTGCGACATGCAAGAAGCACAATGGAACTTGAAGAAGTGTTGCTTTGGCTTCTCCGACCGCCCGGTGCTAGCGTTGGGACGACTAGTAGGCGAGAACGGTTCTGCTAGTAGGCTGCTTCTTAGTATCACACGATTGGCTATTGGAGTCAATACATTCCTGATTATTCCCGGATCATGGCCCCCATCTCGGATCTTAGCAAGAAGGATGTCCCCTTGAAGTGGGGACCGATCCAGCAAGAAGCATATGATTGCATCCGCGCTGAGGTGGCCAAGAAGGGGGGGTTCTGGATGAACCTGGGTTAGAGGATAAGTTGGAATTGTACTGTGGCGCGTGTGACTCTGTAAGAGTGGGTGGGGGGTTGTTTGCTCGACGAGACAAAAAGTTGTGCCCAGTAGGCTTCTGGTCTTCGAAGTTCAGCCCAGCCCAGCTAGGACACCACATCACGGACAAGGAGGCCTTGGCTATTGTGTATTGTTTGCACAAGTCTTGGCGCATAGTCAAGAGATCGCAGCATGCGCTCACGATATTCACGGATCATGAGCCGCTGGTCACGATGCTGACGGAGGATCCTCTGTCTTATGACTCTTCGGTGCGAGAGAGGAGGATGGCTCGGTATACTCAGGTGCTAAGAGATTTTGATATAGTACTCAAGCATATCCCTGGTCAGCTGAATCCTGTAGCTGATGTACAGTCGCGCTTAGGGTATCATCTTGACACAATTATATAGGCGTGGGGTGCGCCAGTAGAGGACCGGGTTCACTGGAGTGACCCGGTGGTGGTGAAGCCTAAGACAGAGTCCTATGCCTTGGGAAAGAGTTGGTTCAACAAGGTGTGCGACAAGTTTGGCCCGTTTGATACGGAAGGCTTTGCCCATCCGAATAACTACCGGATGAAGCCCATCTGCCAACCCACGCTGGCAGGAGGGGTGTTTGCACTGCGGACTTAGATGAGTACAAGGTGGTACTTCAATTCGAAGTGGTCTGATCTGGGCAGAGTAGTAGCGAGAATCAGAAGGGATAAGGCGACTGCAACGTTGGTGTGCGCTTATGCGCGCTGCTTCAAGGATATGGTTCCGCTTATCTCGGCTGATCCGATGGTCATATACCCGAAAGAAGGTGTCTTCCTGAGACATGGGCGAGAGTCTATGTCGGCGTCCGACTTCGTGACTTTAGTTTGCCACATGAGTCCCTACAGACCACATAAGCTGCGTAAGCAGTACAGCAGTAGAACGTGAGGATGAGGTTGTTTCCTGCATGGTGCAGGAAGACACTGTGGGTGCTGTGACTCATCCGAGTGGTAAAAAGGTTAGGTGTGGGCTCCCAGCAGAGGAAGCTGGGGTAGAGACCACACCTATCTCTGAGGTAGGTGCTTTCTCCTCACAGTCATGGCGTGATACCAGTGAGGTGCTGGATCAGTCGGTGAGGAAAGCAGAAGCCCAACTAGAACAAGTTGGCGCACTCCAGAGTGCGGGATCGTTCGGAGCGATGTATACACGCAGTCAGAGTGCAAAGTCCCCTAAGCTGACGCGTCTGCAGAGGGATTTGGCTCAGATTGTGGATTCCTTACCTGCTCAGGACGACATGGATCTGGATGAACATGAGGTTCAAGAACCTCTTAGCGCTGAAGAACGCTCTAAGATGGAGGAAGACCCAGTGGATAAGCCCTTAGAGGACGTGAAACGAGATCGACTTTAGTCGATGAAACGCTCGGTCTTTGGGTTTGAGGTGGGGAGTACAATTATCCAACGGATTGTACGATACACCCACGAGTTGTTTGCACATGCGAGTGCTAAGAGGTTGGATCATCTGACACGCACGATCTGGGGATGGAGCGGCATGGTGAAAATGTGCACTCATGTGCGCTAAAGTTGTGATGCTTTTCAAGCGGTATCTGACGACTTGGGGAAGGAGAAGGGTCTCCTCCAGCAGCCGACACCCCCTGAACTTCATGGATTTTGATCTCGTGAACGGTCAGTCCAAGGTGTTGCTGGCAGTTGACATGCAGACTCGGATGATGTTTGCACGAGTCTTCAGCCCGAGCGCAGATGGGGCATCTGTGGTACGTTTTATGGAGGAACAGGTCTTGGCTTGGGGCTCTCCTGCGCGCCTAGTGATGGATGCGGACAGGAAGTTCTAGAACGGAGACGTCGCGACGTTCTGTGAACGCCGGAACTTTGAGCCGCATTGGATCACAGTGGATAGTCATCAGAGTAATGGGCAGCCAGGTACACTCATCAGGACGATGAAGGATTGGCTCTGCAGAGAGATTGTCGAAGCAGTGGATGACTCTCCGCATGCGTGGCTTCACTTGGTATATGAGATGGTGCGCATTTACAACGCCACACGCAACTCAGTCACGGGAATCTTGCCATATTTCTACATGACGGGCAGGCACTTCAACGGACAGAAGCGCTTAGAGCTGCAGGACAGGGTATTGTCCTTGCTGGAGTATGAGAAGGGCACGGAAGCCACGGTTCGTGACTCTCTAGCGGCTGTTCGTGATCGGCGAGCTCAGCTGGAGCAGCAGAGTGGCGCCAATATCAGACGAGAGGACGTACCATTGTTGCCGGTCGGTTCTCAGGTCTGGTATTGTAAGATTCGGTCTATCAAGGCGATATTAACGCCTTAGAGTAATTAAACGCGTAGGTAAAATCTAAGTATCGTGATAATTTCAAAGTAAATAACCGAAATGAGTCTTTTAGTAAGTTAGGTATGCCTCGTGAAAACAGCAATACTCTGAGGGATTGTGAGGCTGAGACATTGCCTATATATAATCCTCTCAGTACTGTTTACACCGAAGGGATTTTATTTAGTGTTTCGTTGTCGCTCTATTAGAAACTATGGTATCTTTCATTGGGGCGAATCTGAGAGACTCATAAAATCCTATCTTTAGAAAAGAAAAGAAAAATTACTCTTGATGCCCTTAGTTATTGTCTTAACCAATAACTTGTCACTTATCAAGAATTACCGACTTAGCCTTCATCAGACTGGCACATCTGGTTGGTTGATCGGAGGATCAACTAGGTAACGTTAATAGTCCCTAGAAACCTATATTCGGTTGAGCCATCTCGCTACCTAAGTATTCAGATATGAATAAAGTTGGAAAGTAATTATAGTTCTATTAATAGAACTAGACCAACTCTTGTGTTTGGATTTTACTGGGACCCTTTAATGGCCTCGTCCATATATCTGATATGTAAAATGGAAAAGGTATTAATTAATAAAACCATTAAAAAACATTTAAGAAACTTAGGTTCCTCGTACTATTAAGAGTACGTTTATAATTTACGTTCTGCTTAAGAGTACGTTTATAACATAGAGTCTAATGTGGAGGCCCGGCTATTACACAGCCCCCACCCAGCTTTGAGACCCATGAGAAGCAAGTTGCTCACTCAAGCCGATTATGGGTTAAAAAGCGATAAAGGAAAAACGGGTCGAAAACATTAAGTAACATAACATATAGTTAATGTTTCTCAGGCGGAGAAGTTAAGCGTTCTCGGTTACCCCGTGAGTTTTGGGCTTGGGTCCAGTAGGTCCGTGGTGGTCGACTGGACGTTTCTTACGCTTCAGTGTCTTAAGCACATATGAAGGATGAGCATTAAAGCTCGGGATAAATACTGTAGGCGGATAAGTTTTAACTTCCGTGCCTTCAGACGATGGAAACATGCTATCTTTTTCAGCTTGTGACTTATGCAGGCGTTTATGCCATTTTCGATTGAATACTTTTAA